ATTACTGATTTAAAATTAAATTAAAAGTAACATACCAAGTTCTAAGGACTCAATGAGTGAATTGGTCTAGGGGGGGGAGGGCTGTGTCACTTCTCCTCCCATTCTATCCTCATTTCCATTTCAATATTATTTAGGTTTTTGTAGCTGAAAACTACAAAATGTGAAAGTGTGTAGACTGCCAGGTTAAATTCTCGCCAGAATCTAAAAATTGAATTTCACTGGTTTCTCTAAGTGGTAATATCACGTTGAGGAAGGGAGACATTAAATCAAAGGGTAGAAAGACCCAATTTGTGCCTTCTTATATTCCTTTAAACGTTATGCATCTTTTTCTCCATAGCTAGCTCTGGACAGCACACAAGCACATGCCAACAAGCTAATGACAAAGAAAAAAGAATCATCCGAGGGTGCGGTTACCCCGACAATAAAAACCACTGTTTAATCAAAGTTGGCGCAATTAATATTAAGTTTTAAAAGCCCGGCTACACAACACACTGCTTCTTTTTGACTCCAAATAAAGTTGGTTTGTGGGCTTTTTGGAAGAGAGCTGGCAGGGCCTTTATAATTCAACACACTTCTGAAATCAATTCGTCATGAATCACTTTGAGCAACGTGAACAGCCCTGTTGTATTAAATAATGCCTTTGTGGGTGGTCGCAGGTTTTGGTGGTAGGGTCACTGCCGTCCATCCGAAATAATTTTTCAAAAATTTTAACTTTAGCCATGCATCACTGTAGCGATATGCCACATAAAATTTATTTTTTAAAAATATATATAAATGCAGGCATTCCAACCTGAAAATTTTAAGAAACAGCACACAATGCTGTAGTCCGCAAACATGCTAGTTAATGAAATAATTTTAAACCTGTGTAGTTTCCCAAGAGAGTTTTAAGCCCCTGCTTTATATCGGGGTAATAATTTTCAAATGGAATTGCACAAGGTGATGCAAAAACCTATGCAACTGTAAATCAATTTAAAACGGGGCTGGTGGCGCTGTGGGCTAAACCGCAGAAGCCTGTGCTGCAGGGTCAGAAGATCCGGCAGTCGTAAGATCGAATCCACGCAACGGAAGGACCAACCGTCGCTTGTCCCAGCTCCCGCCAACCTAGCGGTTCGAAAGCATGCAAATGCGAGTAGATAAATAGGGACCACCTCGGTGGGAAGGTAAACAGCGTTCCGTGTCTAAATCACACTGGCCATGTGACCACGGAAAGATTGTCTTTGGACAAATGCTGGCTCTATGGCTTGAAGAGCGGGATGAGCGCCGCCCCCTAGAGTCGGACACGACTGGACAAAAATTGGCAAGGGGAACCTTTACCTTTACCTAAAACGGATATAAATCAGCAGCGTGACCACGCCATATCGTCGGCACTCTGGATGCTTTGGACTTCATACTCCCTTCTCTGCCCTAGGAGGGTGCAGCTGGCCCAAGGCTACCCAGGCTGGCTCTTCTCCCAGGAGACCCCATGGGGGGGATCACCCCCCCCAAACTCTGGCTCCGCAGCCAGAGACTTAAACCACTGAGCATTCCGGCCAGCTGTTCCGAAGCTGCTTGGAACAAACTGGGGTTGAAAGTTAACGAGATACCAGTTACAAAAACGGTCACACGGTACAGAATTGCTGGTTACAGGCATTGGAAACAGAAATCAGGTCAACAGACAAAAGACTGTATTTTGGCCATCGCCATTAACTATCGCTTCCCCTCTAGCATCGTCACAAGACTTTCGCCGCTGGATGACCTTCTAACGAGGGCTCTCTGCCATCCATTACCAGTGAAAAAATCTGCACAGGAATCCGTGAGACCCTTCCGCTTTTATGGAGCAACCCAAGTGGCGTAGGATTTACGCTTCAAGAAACATACAGTGGTGCCTCGCTAGACAGTTTTACGCCGCATGACAGTTTTTTTCGCTAGACATTGACTTTTTGCCATCGCTATAGCGATTCACAAAACAGTGATTCCTATGGGGGAATTTCACTGGACAATGTTTGGTCTCTGCTTCGCAAACTGATTTTTGCTAGACAACAATTTTGACAGCTTCCTCCACACTCGCAAAACAGGTGTTTTTGGGACCTAAGCTTCACAAGACAGCGATTTAAACATAAAGTGGCTTTTCTATGGCCGATCTTCGCTAGACAACGACGATTCTTCCCCATTGGAACGCATTAAACAGGGTTCAATGGATTCCAATGGGGAAATGCTTTTCGCTAGACGATGATTTCACTAAACAGCGATTTCAGTGGAACTGATTATCATCGCCTAGCGAGGCACCACTGTAGCTTGATCTGGATTCAAGGGGCTTCCTCTTGGATCAGTTTCAGCTCTTCCACTCCCTTCCAGACTTAAATGAGAACATCCCTCCACCACACACATACCCGCCATGCTGGATGATGTTATCTATCACGTCAGAGGTGGATAATGGGATCTGGAGTCCAGCAAATCCACCCTGCTCCATTGGGGTGGCATAAAGTCCCCCTCGATGATGCCTCATGCTTCTTATCCTTGCCTCTTGTGTGATCGAAATGGACGACAGAGACATTTGTGCCCATCAGAACTGAAAGGAAGATGGAGAAACAGGCAGGGAGGGCGGGTTCGAAACTATACACTTCTAGGATCAATAAAGCCGAGTGAAAATTGCTCTTGGCATTTCAGGTTATTATGTGTGTGTTCTTTCTTCTCTAAAAGGCCATCAACATTTCAAGGCAGGGCTGGTTAACTCCCAGACTTGGCTGCCTGCTCCGTGCTAAATCCAATTCAATGGTTATTGACTGGATGCTTGCCTTTTTGGTGTGTTTGCAAAAACAACAGCAGCAGCCAAAAAGAAAAAGAATTCTCATTTTGCATTTCACGACCAAGAAACACCAGCCTGGAAGAGGAACATCTTCTTAATCTCTTCTAAATGAAGCAAGACGGAGCACGGGAACTCATTAAAGGGGGGGGGAGAGGAGAATGGGACAAGCATTTGGACACAGTGTGCTTACTCTGAAATAAATGGCCCACATTGCTACTCCCTGCTCGAGGACGGGCGCTATGTACCTTCCCGCAGGGGGGCATCCAGAAAATAGCCTCCCTGGCTCAGCTGGATCCAGAATTGCTAACTTAAGAGATTGCTGCGGTGGTAAGGATACGACCTCCTCTCCAGTTGTTGTTCTCTGGAAGCTAAAGCGGCTTTTAAATGGATTGGAGTGGCTGGAAAAGATGTCATTTTTTAATGGTCGTTGATGGCTCGGTGGCTGAAACACACCCACAACAGCCCACCGATTTCGATTGACTTTGGAGAGAATCAAATCGGAAGCCATCAGCCCCAGGGGACGGCAGCCTGCCTTTGGATCCGACAGAACTCCTGTTTTCTTTGGCGGTGAGGAAACCGGTGTTACTTTGAACCGTAGCCCCCTCCTGCCTAGACACGTCCCCACTTCATTCTCCCAGTTCGAACATATCTCTGTAAAGAAGCAACATAAGCCTGGCACGTGATCTCTGCAAAACAAAACTGCCTCCAGGAAAAGGTAGTGGGTGGTGGAGACTTTGACCCCCCATTCCTGGGGAACTGTGACCCCGGGGTCTGGTTTCAGACTAGTAGGTTCGTCCATGGGCCTCTGCAAAAATAAGAAATGATGAACCACAGCAAGCTGGACAGATGCTCGTAAGCTCAGATTTTGAGATCAACCAAAGTTTTTTTTTTTTGAAGAGGATGCAATCTTTTTGACTTCTGGACAGATGTGTCTTCTGCAAATTGTCTCCTGCGTGGTGCCCATCTTCCCAGACTGCTTGCAGGTTCTCGTAAGATTTAAAGCAGGTACGTGGTGGCGCTGTGGGCTAAACCGCAGAAGCCTGTGCTGCAGGATCAGAAGACCAGCAGCCGTAAGATGAAATCCACATGACAGAGTGAGCTCCCGTCGCTTGTCCCTAGCGGTTCGAAAGCATGCAAATGCAAGTAGATAAATAGGGACCACCTCGGTGGGAAGGTAACAGCGTTCCGTGTCTAAGTTGCACTGGCCATGTGACCACGGAAGATTGTCTTCGGACAAAATGCTGGCTCTATGGCTTGAAGAGCGGGATGAGCGCCGCCCCCTAGAGTCGAACACGACTGGACAAAAATTGTCAAGGGGAACCTTTACCTTTACATACACTGGAAAGAAAGCTGTTCTTGGTAAAGCCACGTCACAGTAAGCTCTTACAACCTCAAAGATCTGTGATTTCTTTAGCGTCTTTCTGCTGAGGCCAATGGAACCACCTGACACTGCTATTCTGTGCAGAGTTGCCTTGCCAAGTCCTCATTCCAGGAATGGTCTTGTCCTCTTCACTTAGCTCTACAAATCTCTCTTTAGTGATGCCTGGCTCTTCCTGCCTTTCACACCTGCTTCTCCTTAATAGATTTTATTTTTGGGTGGGTGGGTAGGGGAGAAACGGATGCAGAGATGGAAAAACACATGAGCCAAACTGCCTGACACCTGAAGCCACCAAATGCTTCCATGGATCAGGAACAGATAACATGGATTTCACCCAGAGGCAGCCACGTCAACACATTCCATAGGACTATAAATCAGGATAAAGGTTTGCAAGATTGAATCCTACTGCATTCCACAGGGTTTCCAGCGGCTCAAGATCAGAGCACTCGCCAAGCCATGAGGACTAGAAACTTTATAAAAAACCAAACCTGGAATTCTCTCCGTCTGAGGTTCCGTAGTGTTGTGTTCACTCGGAGAGGGTTACTACCTTTCCATTTTACTACAATTTTTGCTGGCGGTCCAGTCACTGCTGTGGGTTTTGACCGCAAAATGGTAGAGGTTCTGCTAAGAACCAGGGGGGAGGAGGAGAATAAATCATGCAGAAAGGCTCTACACTTTATGAAAAACCTAAATACTTTAATGGCAGAAGCTAAACGACAGAAGACTGTACAGTAAGCTGGGAAGCGTGAGCAAGAGTTTGAAAAACAGAGTCAAAGACGGTGTCCCCAGCGACAGGTGGCTGGCCTGTGGCGGCTTCTAGTGCGGCGTGGAGATGCAGGGATCCCCGCGCATCCGTGTTGCGCTGTGTGTTGTCGTGGATCAAGTGCACGTCAAGACGCAGCCTTGCCCCAAAAGGCTCTTCTGTGCAACATGCCAGGCCCATCCTTTGAGATTTGCCGTCCTGTGTATGAATGAACCGGGGCGCTGTCAGCGACGTTCCAAGTGACCGGGCAAAGGGTGCTACTCATGTGCAGTCATGCAAAGCCTCCCAGGTGCCCTCCATCAGATCTGGAAACAGGCAGGGTGATGTTTGTGGACTTCGAAGTTCAGGCTTTGAATCGCAGCTATGTGTACGAGGGAGGGAGTTCTCATCTCCCTGTTGATAAAAGCACGGCGGTGGGAATCACTCCAACATCTTCCTGGAAGGGAAGGCTCCGAAGCGGGGCCGGAGCCCTGGGGACCTCTCCCTTCGTCCGGCCACCTCTGTGGAGTCTAAGACCTGCTGCACATAGGAGGACGTGCCGAGGAGGAGGTGGCCGGTGGCTTGCATGCTGTAGAGAACCCAGCGCACAGCCTCCCTGCCCAGGAGAAAGGAAGAGGATCAGGAAGAGCGGAAAGCCTCTACGAGAGCCACCTGTAGGTTCAGACCCTGTCGAGGAGAAGGGCAAAAACATGCTGCTCCCAGAGGCCTGGCACGTGGCCTGCGTTGTCCCCAAACCACGGGGTCTGAGAACAGCTGGGCTTGAAGGGATCTGGTGGATCGCCAAGTCCAGCCCCTGTCCAAGAGGCACCGTGGGGTGGGGTGGGTGGGAAACAAACTCCCAACCTCAGGCTCTGGAGCCCAATGCTAAACCACGGGGATGGGCCGCGGCTGAGCCATCTGAGAGCTGCAGGATTTGAAGGGACCCTTGAGATCATCCAGTCCATCCCCTGTGAAGAAGGCACAAGTGGGGGATTGAACCCCACAACCTCTGGCTCTGCAGCTAGAGACTTAAGCCGCTCAGCTATCTAGCAGGGCCACTGATGAAGTAGAAAAGGGGGGGCTGGAATACCTGTCGGGGCAAAAGAAGCTCAAACAATCTCCTGGCTGTGTCCCCAGCAACTAGAAAGCATCCAGCACACGCTTGGTGTTTTTTTTTTCCAGCCACTATCACAGTGGAGCACTGAATCTGCATATAAATTTAGTGTCTGGGTAAGATACCGGCTTCCCCCTTGGAACGGGGCCTGGACACCTCTCCTTCTCAGATACGAATTGGTTCTTCTTACCTTGGCCATCCTAAGAATGAAAGCTGCATGACACGGTAGCCCTCCTATTTCCAGAAGCGGCTGGTCCTCAAGAGGTAGACTGCCACTGAACATGGCTGTTCCATTGAGCACTCACTTTGGGAAGCAGCTCGGTCTAATTTCCTCTTTCAAAGTTTTCCACCTTCTTTTCGTGTTGTAAAAGGGAGTCCCTCCCGAGCAGGACTAGGGGGAGCCCCCCCACCCCGAGAACACAGGTGGTTACGAATCCCAAAGTAGAGGAGGGCCAAGATTTTGGAGATTTTGACTCACAGCCGGCCGTTTAAGGTTAGCTAACTGCAAGGAAGGTAAGAATTGCGGGACTCAAGGTGGCTAAACGCCCACTCCCTCTGCCGGGAGCATTGCCACCCACCCGCTAACCAGGTGCCCCCCAAAGGAAAGTCACCAGCAGGACACGAGTCTCCTTATACTATCTCTCCAGCTTTCCTCACCAATGGAGAGGCTGGATCTGCCCCTAACATTGATAAGGGAGGTATCCCTGTCCAGATAAGCAGCCACTGCTGGGTCCAAATCTCCACGCATGTCCCTAACCCCCTTTTCAAAAGCCATTTCAGTTGGCAGCCCATGTTACCCCCAGTGGCAGTGAATTCCACACCCTGTACACCATGCAAAAGCTCCTTTTCATCCTTTCGGCTTTGAATTCCTCACCATTCAGCTCTATGGAGGGCTCCATTCAGTTCCTAGGTGGAACTGAAGGAGGCGCTCTTTGGCACCGTGAATGATTTGTACTGCCACAGTATGAGAAACAAAACCTCCATGGATATTAGCACTGTATCATGAAAGCAGAGGCCCCGGGCAAACGGTCACTTCCTACTTTGCAAAGAAAACATCCACCCTTTCTCAGCTACAGCGGCTGACCCTTTGAGCGAAACAACAACAAGAAGCCATCCACAGCCACCCCCTGCTCAGATTTCCATGTTCCTCTTCAACTTAGCTGCAGTCCTTCCAAGAGGTGTGGGAGAAACAGATTTGACGAAGAAAAATAGATTTCCCCACCAAAGCTGCCCTTTTTGTAAAACATTGGAGGAATTTTGGGGGGGCTTGAATGGGCAACAAAGAGTCATTTGGTTTACAAAACACCTGCTCCTGGTGTAAACAACAGCTTGGAGGTGGTTTTTGGTATCAATCCATAGAACCTTCTCTATTTTTGGACTCTTCCAAAATTTCCGAATATCTTGCTACATCCTTGGTTTTTTTCCCCCCAGTGTTGACATCTATTGTGGACCGATGGACCACTGTGATTTGTTTATTTAAACAACTTTTCCTGAGCAGAGACTGGTCCCTCCACAGTAGCTTTCCAAGGGCTCTAGCAGAGTTAAGAGGTTCATGTTGACACCACTGAAACTCAATCCAAGCCATCAGGAGAGACATGGAATCAATGACCACCCGCTGACCTTCCTTATCTCTCTTAAGAGCGGCCAGTCCTCCCACCCTGGACACGCTCAGTCTTTACACAAGGAAAGGTGCCAACCTGAGGCCAGGTAGTCACAGGTAGGACCACATCACTCCATTCCCACAAGCCCAGCTGTTCTTGTTCTCGTTTTAGCCTCGAGTCACAGGTAGGACCACATCACTCCATTCACACAAGCCCAGATGTTCTTCTCATTTTAGCCTCATCGCACAGTGGTTAAACTGCAGTCCTGCAACCAAAACTCTGCTCACTACCCAGGGTTGAATCCCAGGTAGCCAGTGGCTCAAGGTTCACTCAGCCATCCATCCTTACGAAGTTGGTAAATTGAGTACCCAACTTGCTGCAGGAAGGCAATGTGTAGCTTGCAGAATTAAATTGTAAAATTGCCCAAGCCATCCTTCTGAAGTCAGTAAATTGAATACTCAACTTGCTGCAGGGAGGCAATGTGTAGCTGGCAGAATTAAATTGTAAAATTGCCCAATGAATGCTTTAAGCGCTATGGGGCAGTATATATAAGCAGCACACTTTACTTTTATCCTAGAGGACCCTTGCTTGTGCTAAATCTACATGGATGGAATGGAGGGGGTCCCGATACTCACTTCACGAGCCTCTTGGCACCATAGCAGTGCATGTCATAGGAGATGCTGTATGTGCCATAGAGCGTGGCTTGGAAATTAAGGCAGCCAATGAAGTCCTCCGGCTTGGTTTTGTAGAGGTCAAGGCTCACACAGACCACGTCATGGCAGCGCCGAGGTTTCTGGGACAAAGCAAGCTGGTAGCCCGGAGTCTGCGGAGCGAAAGAGGGAACGGATAAGTAAAGCAAGCTGGTAGCCCGGAGTCTGCGGACCGAAAGAGGGAACGGATAAGTCCGTGGTTCCCAGTCTTGGGTCCCGAGATGTTCTCGGACTAAAACTCCCAGAAGCCTTCACCCCTCGCTGTGCTGACCAGGATTTCTGGGAGATGTAGGCCAAGAACATCTGGAGGGGGGTCAAGGTTGGAATTTCTGGGAGATGTAGGCCAAGAACATCTGAGGGGGGGGGGTTAAGGTTGGACACTGCTGGTATAAGTGAATAACAAGCAGCCAGTTCGGCTGGCACATGGCCCACGTTCTGCCAATGTGAATATACATAAATAAGGAAAAGTAGCTGTATGATCCACCCAGAGAAATAAAGTTCTGCATTGGGTAATTACTTTGATTAGATCAATAAATGGTTACTAATAAGGTTAGCTTTCAAATATCCTGTTCTTCATCAGGTGCTGTGTGACCTTTTAGTAACATTTCATTAATCTAATGCATGTCGGTGACTCAGGTCTACAAAGGCAGGTAAGAGCAAAGGTCTCACAAATGAGGCCAGTGAGACCAAAACACAATATATTCTAAAGCTGTATATCCTATTTTTGCTATGGGTCAAATTAGATGTTAAGGGGCCTCCATCTTTTCTCTCCTGGAACATGATGCCTCCATAATCATGAAACAAAACTCACTGGGATGCAAGATACAGAGAGGAAGGAAACCACGTACTGTGACAACAAGATGCCTTTCATGGCTTAAAGGAGCACCTCTTCTAAAAACAGAATGTATCAACTTGTTTCACCCATGCTCTGCAGGACCTGTTGAGTTGGAAGGATGAGAGTGGTAGATCAATGGATAAAGCCATTGACCAGCAAGACTGAGAATTAAGGCCACACAGCGATGAGCTTTCGGCCTTTCCGATTTTTAGGTCTGCCCTAGCCATAACCACATACCTTTGGTCAGTTTCAGAAACAGAACAGTTTCTGTTCTGCTACCATTCATGGGAACGAAGATGCTGTGAAGGGTGGCCTTTTCTTCTAATTTTTGCATGAAAGAATTTGTTTTGCCCACTTAGGGTCTAAATGCTTAACATTCAAGATTGTTTCCTCAAAAGAGCTGAACCATTTCAGATCAATTAGTGCAGGAAAATCTCACACTTACTTCAGTGCTACAAAGCAGGAACCAAACCCACAGCAGAATGGAGATGCACCCCCCAATCCCCTCCATCAAACGGCGACATCTTGGTTTGCCACCTTTACGAAATAATGTCACACCACCTTTTGTGTGAAACCCACAGCAGAATGGAGATGCACCCCCACCCCCTCCAGCAAATGGCGACATCTTGGTTTGCCGCCTTTACGAAGTAATGTCACACCAGCTTTTGTGTAGACAAATCCAGAATTTCAGCCCCACTGTCTTCATCATTCTACTCCACCGTCATTCTACTTTCCTCGCTGTAATTTCTTTACTTGTACCGTATTTTTCAGTGTATAAGACTATACTTTTGTCGAAAATCTTTAGAGTGTAAGCTGAGGAGAGAACAAAAACAAGTGGAGGAGAAAGCAGGGATCGAAGCGATCCTGCAGCGCTTTGAAACCTTTCCCCCTGCACTTGCTTAGCCCCACTTAGATTTCTTAATTTTGGATTAGAAAAGTGGGGGCATCTTATACATGAGGGCATCTTATACACAGAAAAATACAGTAAGTCATTGGATTAATGTTACAAATACTGGATCAAAAGTGTAAGCCGATACGGTGATCTCCCATCTGGGAATTAGGGATGGGGGAACACAGGGTTTGTTTGTTGGCTTGCTACTTGGTTTTGGCAACCTCGTATGCTGCTTTTAGCAGGTGTGGCTGGGAGGGGCCTTTCTCGGCTGGGGTGACTGTCCATCTATTCACCACCAACCAATCATTCCTTCCTGGCTCTGAATTCAAACACAGCCCCACCTCTCTGCTCTGTGCTTTTCCCCCACTTTAGACTCTGTTGAAGTCTGTCACTGAAAGCGCTCGTGTTTGTTCATTTGCTGTTTGATCTGTTCAACTATCAGAAAATTTTTATTCTTTCTCCTCTTAATGTCTCAGAGTGCATTATTGAGACTGTAAGTGCCAGTTGATGATAAAAAGTGTTGACTACTCTGGGGCACTTGAAACTATTCTGTTGTGTGAATCCCTGCAATTCTGCTGGGCAGCTAAAGGAATTTAACCAGAAATTCAAAACTCTGCAACAGCATATCGGCAGAAATGCTACGATGTGTTTTACAGCCTACTAGAACAATCAGCTCAGTATGGTTTCAGGAAACCTCTCCTTAACATTTTGCTTCTGAGCAGCTCCTCACTTCTTTCCCCGAGGAAACAGAACTCACTCAAAGTTGCAGCAATTAACTTAAATTATTCCTCAGAGAGATGGAACCCACACCATGGACTAGTTCCAGACCACTGAGGCAATTATAAATCCCATTTACACAGAAATAGCATTATCTTTCCCCAGCTTACATTTCTCAAGTTGCGCGCTACTCATTTATCACTGTTTTTCGAGAGGTCATCGTGTTAGCTTGTTTCGGCATGTATGCAAAAAAAAAAAAGCAATAACAAAAGTATTGCGGCATCTTAACAGCTAACAGATTTATTTTTGAACCAGCCGTCATAGATTAGAAACCGTTTCATCTGATACGTTTACTGCCTGCCTTTTTAGATCACTCAGTTGCCAGCATTGTCTGGGAGGGGGTTTCTTTAAAAACCTAAAACACAAATCATGGAGAAAAAGAGTCCCTAGTAAAGCCAGCAGAGATTAAGACTCTACATCAAAATAAATGCTGGCTGCCAGACAGCTCTGTGTTAAAGCCTAAAAACACGAAGCATGCCATAGGAAGGATGGCGGGATTAAAACAAGCCATGTGTCTCTTCTTCTTTGTGGGGGGAAGAAGCACCTAGAGCCGGGGTTCTAGGTGCTTCTCCACATCTAGAGACCTTGGGGATTAAAACAAGCCATGTGTCTCTTCTTGTTTGTGGGGGGAAGAAGCACCTAGATCCGGGGTTCTAGGTGCTTCTCCACATCTGGAGACCTGAGGTTGGGAACCACTGGCTTCAATAAAGCCATCCTATGGATGCGGGGGCAGAAGATAACGGGTACCCCATCACCATACCTCCAGTCCACAAAATGTTCTTAAATTTTTTAGGTGGCAACGTCTGGGGGGGGGGAATCTCCTTGTGCCTTCTAACCCTGTGGGGAGATTTTGCTATGTTTGGAGGTACTTCCAGCATCCTTGACCCTCTCACTCAATTTTTTTGCAATTCTAAACAATTTATTTTGACCGCTAGAGCAGTGATCCACAATCTTGGGCCTCCAGATGTTCTTGGACTTCAACTCCCAGAAATCCTGGCCAGCAGAGGTGGTGGTGAAGGCTTCTGGGAGTTGTAGTCCAAGAACATCTGGAGGCCCAAGGTTGGGGACCACTGCGCTAGAGGACAAAAAGGTGATTTCCTTTTTTAAAAAAGCATTTTTATAGGGAAAAATAATTAGGAATGAGCCAAGTTGCAAATTGTAGGCATAACACAATCATACTGGCCAGTTCCATTTAGTGATTTAGCCACCTTATTTTGGACTAACTGTGATTTGCAAACTTTTTTCGGGGGGGGGGAGTGGAAGCAGCAACCGAGGACAAGATCCTATGCAGGAGGGGTGAGAAATTTGTGGGGTTTTTTTTCTTTCTGCTTTGCAGCGTGTGAATCAAAATACATTTTTTCGATCCAGTCTTTGCATTCTGAATTTTGCGATGCAGTTGATTTGATCAAAATTACCCACAAAGTAGTTTGCTTGGGGGATAGTATGACGAACAAGCGTCTGTTCAGGGAGATTGCCTATATAAAGGTGTATTAACAGGTGTTTCTGCAAAATATGGATGGGGAAGAAAACACAGGGAAGTAAGCAGATGTTTAAATCTCCTTGTAGAGTTCAATTCCCCACTATGCCTCTTTGAGAGCGGCTGGACTGGATGATCCATAGGGTCCCGTCCAGCTCTGAAGTTCAAAGTTTATCATTAAAGGTTATTATTTTAAAATGGTTTAAATTGTCCTTCAAATAATTTAAAAATAATGTTTTAAATAATATTTAATTTTTTTTTACTTCTGGTGGGTGAAAAAGTGATCAACACTTTAAGGAAAAATTGTGAAGACTTCCAAAAAAATGGCCAACTGGTGCAGAAACACACAACACAAAGGCCTAAGTTAAGTTGTTATGATGGGCCTTCAATTGCTTCCAATTTACGGTGACCCTATGAATTGGCCATCACCAAGAAAATCCTATTATAAACAGCCCTGCTTTGGTCTTGCAAACTCAGAGCTGTAACTTCCTTTTCTGAGTCACTCTATCTCACATTTGGTCCTCCTCTTCTCCTGCTGCTTCCAGTGGCAGAACTGAAGAAGCTAAAAGTGACTGATTGCAGTACTACAAACCGCGCATGACGACTACGAACCTTCGCTGGGTACCAAGACTGCCCCTTCGTAAGCGCTACGAACACCGTGCCCTCCTTCAAGGTCTGAAAAAACTCTTCGTTGTCCACAATCGTGCCATCTTCATCCAGGGCAAGAGTGACCATTCCTCCCACAAGCAAAGCAGCGCGGACCTGAAAGCATATCATCATCTCAGAACTGGAGAGCTGAGAGGGGACCCTCGGGGTCATCTAGTCCAGCCCCCATCATGGAGGCCCCGTGAGGAATTCGAACCCACAACCTCTGGCTCAGCAGCAGTTCCCCAACCAAATTCACTTTGCGAACCACCGTTTGAAAGGGAATTGGAAAACATTTGCCGAGCATGCAGAGAATGTGCCTGATGGATTTAAAAACAGCATCCTTTCCCAGATCATGTTTCGGAGAGAGAACCGACAAAATTGAATTTAATTAGGCATTTTTACCTGTCATACCTGTTGGAAGCCTGAACTCTCTCTTAGACGAGGGAGTGACTCAACTGGGGGTTTGGAGGTAACATGAAATTTATCTTCTCAGCAGCTTGGAACGCACCTCCTGTTATCTTTGTTGGTGAGGGGATTGAAGCCCCCTTTTTGAAAGGGAAATCAAATAAATAGATATGGAAATAGGTAGGGCTGTCTCTGGGCATTCTTCCTATACTCTAGACTTCCAACCCGATCTGTACGAGCTAAATCTATCTTGCACCCTTCTACTGGTTTGGAAGCACCTTGGGGGGTGTCAAGTGGCCGGTGATCCCCATGGCTAAACAAACAGGACCCCTCCATCCTGAACCTCTCTTTTTGGAACGGATAAACGAGGGTCCAATGACAGCTATTTGCCGCTGCCTGTGCTTTTCCTCACCTAGGTATCTTGCATTTAGCAGGCGCAGTTTTGAAATCAAGTTCCACTTTCAAAATAACATGTCAACCAGCAACATCATTGCTTTAATGGGGTCATATTTATTCTTCGTTTTTCCTAGGGCAAAATATTTTTGCAAAGATCCTTACCTTTTGACTGTTCTTTTAAAAAAGTTTAAAAAAAACACCACAAAGCTGTGACTTTTTAAAGAGTCTGACAGTCATGCACAACGTGGGAGGCAGAGTTTTGCAATATATTAGTTGATGAACTGTTTATGAACAGTCACTTTGAAAGTCTTGCTTAAAATCTACCCACACACTAAGTAGGATCCCATCCCATAAGCAGGGTATTACCTTCTGGAGCAGATCTCGTAAGTTGTCTGCCATGATCCCCTTCCTCAAGGTACGGTCCCAGTTGCTCACCCGATATGGCCTGGGATGAGGGCGAGGAGGAGGCAGAACTGGTTGTCGAGCCTCAGAAGAGTTCCCCACGGACACACACCTAAAAGAAGGACCACCACATCATCCTCGGGCATTTCCTTACAGCCAATCCTGCTGGCACTGCGGCAGCTACAAAACTCAGAATCCCAGATCTTCTTGAGCTACAGTTTCCAGAAGTCTTAGCTAACAAGCTTGGTCAAAGCGTCTGGGTGTTGTAGTCCAAGAACATCTGGGGCTCGAAGTTTGGAATCCCTGTTCTATAGCTGGCAACTGTAGGTGGCTTCTGTCCGTCCATCTGTCTCATTTAGAAGGACCCAAGGCAAGTTATATCATACAGCGGGGATACAAAACAGTAAATACGCAAATATTTAAAAGAATCAAAGAAGTACCACACACAAAAATAGCGAACAAAATCAACATGAAAAAACCACATTCAAAACCAACAAGGCACAACAATCCATTTTTTAAAAGCCACTCAGGCAGGCAAGAGAAAGCCTGCCTGAAGAGAAAGGTCATGGCCTGCTTGAAGAAGGACAGCCAAGACGGGGCCGGCCTCCAGGCCAGTGGGAGGGAGTTCCAGAGTCTCTGGGAGCAGCCACAGAGAAAGACCTGTCCAGGGGCCCCCGCCAACTGCACCTGTGAGGGTGGCAGGATCTAGAGAAAGACCTCCCCAGAAAGGGAGATGCCGTCTTTTAGACAGCTTGGATCTAAGCTGTTTAGGGCTTCATAGGCTAAAATTTCCAAGCACTTTCCAAAGGCAGACTGCAGGAGAGCATGTGCCAGTATTCCAAAATTTACAAAAGACCAGCCATTTCAGTGTTTCCATTTTATTGGCCCACAACAGTATATCTACAGTGAAATTAGATTCCATGCTCAGAAGACATGGTCACTCGGATATTGAAAGACAAGTATTGGTCTCACTGCATGATTTTCCTCACTCATGTATCTTGCATTTAACATGCTTCGTTTCGTGACTGCTCATTAGTTTCCACATCTGACAGCTAAGGCAGATATCTCTGAGTGTATGTATGAGAAGGGAAATGGATTAATTGGAGGACTTTTATCTCTCTCTTTCCTACATATTGAATCCACAGTCCTAGCTTTTGAGTCTCAGTTTTCAGAACCGAAATGTGGGAGCTGCTTACCTGGACAGAGATTGCAGGGAGAGAAAACTGAGAGATTTCATCGCATAATCCATTTGCACTAGCCACCGAGTCTATAGCCTAGAACGAGCAAGCAAAAAAGAAGTAGGACACTTCCCCTTTAGCATGAATCTAAATTCTTTTAGGAGTTTTAAGGCTCCAAATCCAAATATACGGTCAGATTCCAAAGATAAAAATATTATGTTTGCAGAGAGAAAATTCAGATTTTGCTGGTGATAAAACACAGAGAAGAAAAGGAAGAGTCAACTACTGTGTTTCCCCAAAAATAAAAAAGGGTCATATTAATTTTTGCTCCCAAAAAAATAATTAACATTAGTGCTTATTTTCAGGCGATTTTTTTTCATGTACAGCCATCTACGTTTATTCATATGCAGTCATGTCATTATCTTCTGGTTGCTGCACAAGGGTGGAGGGGGGGCTTTCACTTAACTAGCGCTTATTTTGGGGTGGGTGGGGCTTGTATTACGACCATCCTGAAAAATCATACTAGGACTTATTTTCAGGTTAGGTCTTATTTTCAGGGAAACAGGGTAGGAACAAATAAACACAGCTACAAAATATTGTTGGAGATATTGCTACCTCGCATGCTGCCTCTAGTAGGTGTGGCTGGGAGGGACCTTTCTGAGCTGTCAATCTACCCAGTACTAACCAATTGGTCCTTCCCTGCCTCCGATTCATAGAGAGCCATGCCCTTCCACTAAGAAACATGTGCCTGTTTTGTCTGGGGAGAAATTCATGCAGCGTCTTGGAAGCAGTTAGCCTGTTGAGACCTGTAGCTGCAAGCAGCTACATTTATTCCTAGATTGCTGTTGGATTTGTTCAATTGTAAGTAATGAATCCTTTTAATTTTTTTCTCCTAATCACGTCTCAGAGCGAGACCGCAAGTGCCTTTTATTCTTTCTCCTAATCACATCTCAGAGCGAGACCGCAAGTGCCAGTTGAGGGAGAAAGGGGTGGACTAATTCCAGGGAACTTGAAGCTATTCGGTTGTGTGAATCCCTGCACTTCTATGGATTTGAACTAAAATTCAAAACTCTACAACGAATACTCGATGTTAAACTGGCATTTAAAAAAAAATCAGGTGAAGAGAAAAGAAGTAGAAGGTCCTGTCCAGAAAGAATGACTGGCTAGAACCCAGAACAGTTTATATATTAGGACCTTCTAGTGCAGAGTCTATAGGTTATTTCTAACATATCCATAGCCAGTTAAAAAATAAAAGCCCTTGAACAGAATGAGAAATAAGGCAGCATTCATGTTTAACAGTTTGCATTTATATATTTATTAAAAATTTACCTCTGGACTACGCTGCTTGAGTTTTCCCAGTCATCCTTGGGACTGATATGTGGGAACATCCAGACCCCTATTTTTTTTTCTAATTTCTCTTCAAACTTGATAAACCAAATTTTCCTTTGCACCCATCCCCCTTTCCCTAATATCATGGCATGAGCAAGCAGCTAACCTCACACAGGTTTTTAAAGTTTGTGGTTTTTAAAAGTAACTTTTCCAAGCTGTGCCCAAACTTGGTAAACAAATGTATTATTTCCCTTTGCACTGTGAAGTCATAAATTTTCTGCAGAAAACTGAACTCACAGAAAACTTTGATATTAAAGCCCCAGGAACTCTTACTCCCTTATAATTTATACACTCATTTCTGCCTAAACAGTTACAGCTACAACAGCTAAACTCTTTCAGGATCCGATAACTTACCTTCCTTGAAAGACCTTCCAGGGATAAAACTACTTCCACTAAACTCACCTGGTTCAGCTTATATATACCTAAGACAAGCCCCACCCACTAGCATTTTTAGCCAATCCTTTTCTGCCACAGGTGGGTGGGATTTAAAGCCAGAGTTGGCTAAAGTTAACATTTGTTGGGGCATAATTTAGCCTTTTTCATTGTTGTTCTGAATGTTGCAAAGGCGGACCAAGAAAATTGCAGAACAATAATTTCTATATTTATCCACATTTTCTTGCAAATGAAATGCATTCATTTTATCACAATTAAGGCTGTGCTCCTAACACACCTTCCTATAGGTTCCCCTTGACATTTAGTCCAGTCGTGACTGACTCTAGGGCGCGGTGCTCATCTCCGTTTCCAAGCCGTAGAGCCAGCGTTTCTCTGAAGACAATCTTCCGTGGTCACATGGCCAGCACGACTAGACACGGAACGCTGCGACCGTCCCACCGTGGTGGTACCTATTTATCTACTTGCATTTTTTTAATGTGCTAACTATTGGAGCAAGTTTAGAGGAGGGGCGACAAGGATGATCAGGGGAATGGAAACCAAGCCGGATGAGGAAAGGCTAAAAGAATTGGGCATGTTTAGCTTTGAGAAAAGAAGACTGAGGGGTGATATGATCGCACTTTTCAAATATTTGAAAGGCTGTCCTAGAGAGGAGAGGCAAGATCTGTTGTCAATCATCCCAGAGTGCAGGACACGCAACAATGGGCTCAAGATAAAGGAAGCCAGATTTTGGGTTCGGTTGAATATCAGGGAAAAGTTCCTAACTGTTAGAGCAGTACGACAGTGGAACTAATGCCCTCAAAGGGAGGTGGTCAATCTGAGTGCTCCAACACTAGAAACATTCAAGAAAATCTTGACTAATCACCTGGCAGATATACAGTACTTTGATCATATTCCTGCCTTGAGCAAGGGGTTGGACTTGATGGCCTTGTAGGCCCCTTCCAACTTCACTTTTCTATGATTCTATGATTTATAGGGTTGGTAGTGACCTTGCTAAGTGGTGACCGCGGAGAGCTGCAGAGTTTTGAATTTTTTGTTAAGTTCCCTTAGTTGCACAGCAGCCGTGCAGGGATTCACAGAGCAGAATAGCTTCCAAGTTACACAGAGTAGTCCACCCCCTTTTTTTCATCAAGTGGAACTTACAGTTCCAATAGCTCACTCTGAGACGTTAGGTGGAGAAAGAATTAAAAGGTTCCATTTACTTACAGTTGAACAGACGAAACAGCAAACTGATAAACCTGACTGCTTGAAACAACCAGACTTCCAACAAATTCATTGACTGAGTCCAACAGACAAAAGAGAAACTGAACAGAAAGGCAGGACTCTGAATTCAGAGGCAAGCGGGAACAATTGTTTCCTTCCCTGGAACATCCATTCCCCATGGAATGTGAAAGGTTTTGAGTCATACACAGACCTTCTTCATAATGAATGGCGCAATGTCACACATCTTGTCAGCTTCTCTTGAGCCTCTGATATGGTCCCTCTTCAAGAACAACTCAATAAATACATTTCACCAACCTGTCTGTGGATATGGGAGTATGCAAGCTTTCAGGTTACACAGAGTTCTTCTCTAGCCAAAATGCCTGGATGAACCGCACTTTGTTGCTTAATCCTGGAAAGTATTGTTCCTTTTTGTCAAAACCCCTCGGTTAATAAATTCTCCTCTGTTATTGATTTAAAACCTGTTTGGAACCCCTTTCAGACCAAAGGTAGATAGTGTTCACAGTTTCAGATCACACAGGAATCTTTTGCAAGCAGGATGTCACGAGGGATGCCAGGCAGGGCTGCTCTAGTGATGGACACCCTGCATCGACAAAGGTCGAACTAGTTGACTCTCGCTACCCCTTAGAACTCCCAAAGTCTATGATTTTGCCCAGTTTTTGCCTCTCCCTGTCAGGTAATCTTCAAAAAAAGCTCAGACTAATTTTCAGCCGAGCCGGCTGCCCTGAGGAATAGAAGGAACAGATTTCTTTTTCTGTCTACTAAGAAAGAATGATTTCCAGCCTCACATTCCAGGAGGTGTTATTAACAGTTATTAGTATCAAGGGTGGTAGGCCAAGCTACAGTCAGAGAGATAGACAAAGTGATTCAATTGAATTTGAGCTTATATACCATCTATTCCCTGGAGAGGGACTCTGAATCATGGTTTCCTCATAAGTTTCTAGCCCTCTTGATTCTCACCTGGGAGGTGGGGAAGGCTAGCTGCTCTATCTAGTCCTTCTCAGTATCTGGGGATTTTTCTCAAGATACATTCATATTTATTTATTTTTTTAAAAATGGATATTCACCTCATTCTTCGTGAGACTCATACAACACTAGGATGATGGAGAAAACAGACAACCCCTGGTGAGGGGGTTGAGATGAGTCTACTCACTTGAAATCAGTAAATATGTAGGCTGGAGTGCAAATACATATATGGGAATATTCAGACTTCTACTGTACTAAACATTTTTCTTCTCAAAAACGGCACTGGCATTAAAAATGGGAAAGGTTAGCTTGAAATCCAGTTATTGCCATCTCTTCATTGAAGAAGGTTTATTAAATCTCATGAACTATCCTGCTGTAGAGTTTTGAATTTCAGCGATAATTCCTTTTTGCTAGGCATTAGAAGTACTGAGATTCATAGAGAAGAATAGCTACAAGTTCCTCAGATAGTCCACCCCTTTCTCATTAACTAGCGCTTCAAGTCAAAATAACTCACTCTGAGATATGTTGTAGAAGATTTTTTTTAAAAAAAAACTTTACTTCTAATCACATGAACATGACAGACTTTTGTAGATTGCTTTTCTTTATTGGCCACCAACTGAACAAATCAACAGCAAAAAACCACAACTGCTTCCAGTTGAGGAAAGAGAGAGGGGGAAGAACACTCAGCAGAGAGACGGTTTCTCTTTGAATTCAAACACTAGAAGGAATGATTGGTTAATGATGGACAGATAGACCATCGGCCCAGCCTAGAAAAGTTCCTCCCAGTTAAACTACAGATCCAAAGCTCAGAAAATGTCCCCCCCTCTTTTTTTGGACTACACTTCCCAGAATCCCTTGGCCAGCATGGACTTTTCCAAGCTCTGAAGCTTTCAAACGTTCAGTCTTGACGCCATTCCTCCACCATTTTAGAAAACTGTTGAGAAGCTGGAAAATGTCTGGAAGAGCACAGCCAGGCAAGGGTACAAGACGTGGAAGTCAACCCCTCGGAGGCTCAGTTATGGGACCCTGAGTGTCTTTACTCTGGAGAAGAGGGGACTGGGAAGCGATACGAGGGCCATCTTCACAAACTAGAAGAGTTGTCATTGTGGAAGAGGGAGCAAGCTTGCCTTTTCCCCCTAGCTCCAGAGGGTAGGGCCCGAAGTAGCGGGTTCGAATGATGAGAAAGGAGATTTACTTTTTGATAGGAAGAGTTGGTTGATGGTGGAACGGTCTACCTCGGAGGCTTTGAAACTGAGGTTATTTGGCCCCCCGTCAGGGATGCTTTAGCAGTAGGTCTCCTGCATGGACTGGATGACCTTCGTTCCATGATTCATTCAGTGAAGCCCACCCGATGTTTGGTTCACTGTCTCTGGATCTGGGGCAGTTAAATCCACTCTGGCTTGGAGAACGGAAAGCGTTTTGAGCAAGCGAGGAAACTGACAAGATGGAGGTGTGTTGAGAGGAGGTGTCAACGTGGGAGCAGCCACATTTCAGAGGGAGAAGATTACCAAGGCTGTTTCCGTTGGTTTTCCATCAGATGTTAACCTGAATGCTTCAGAAAGTGAAACGAACAGTTTCAGTGGAAGAGGGTTTGGTTCGTTTCATTTTTCATCAGAAGGTGCAAACTTTTCCCAAATGCCAACCAGTTACAACAAGCCAACCGATGAAAAAAAATAAAATAAAATAAAAATCACAAGTTTTGAGGCTGTATTTGCCATGAATAATTGTGTTCTGCTTTTGAGTAGAAAAGGTGAATGTTGGGGGAAAAGCAAAACACAGAGATCTGGGTTCAGTCTCTGGCTGTGGAGCCAGAGGTTCGGGGTTCGAATTCCCCATGGGGCCTCCTTGACAGGGGCTGAACCGGGATGATCTGGAGGGTCCCTTCTGGCTCTGCAGCTCTCAAATCTAAGGCATCTCTCCATATCTAGAGATGGAAACAACAACTGTTGTAGTAGGATAGAGCAAGAGACCTGGGTTCAAATCCGAGCTTGGCCGTGGGAACTCTTAAATAGCTCACATGCCTTGGAAACCGTAGGAAAAGTGCTATAAATTGGTTCCAACTTGATGGCAGACGACAACAAGCAAACTAGAGCATTCTGGAAGCGAAAACGACTAGCACACATTCCGTAGGGTAGAGAAAAGGATTGCAGGTCTAGAATGAAAAAAGGACCGATTAGCCCCCATTAAACTTCCTTGGGTCGGTTTATTTGGATTGCCGGACTTGGGAGCGATGTGTCTGGTTGGCAAACCGCCAGGCCTCCTCTGGCTTTAAAGCTTCGAGGGATCCCCTTCGCACCCTTCGCTCCTGCTCAGGAGACTTGAAGAACAGCTGGGAGAAAAGCCGGCGAGTGGGTGACCTCACCGCGCAGCTGCTGGCCTGGCGCTGACTGCGCAGGTGTATCCCCAGCCAAGCACTTAATGGAGTGAAAAGTGGAGCTAATTTTAGCATATTGACAGAAAACAAAAAGCTGAGACAGTTCTGCCGCCCGTCTTTAGCTGAGCTGTAATGCTGAAGGGGAAATCAAGGCTCCTGGAGGAAGCCCTGGAGTTTTTACAACCTCGCATGCCCTCTCTGTATTGACAGCATGCGAGGTTGGGAGGGATTTTCGTGGGGTCACTTTCAATCTATCCAGTGCTAACCAATCGTTTCCCTCCATCTCTGAATTCAAAGAGAGCCCTGTCTCACTGATCAATGTTCTTTCCCCTCTCTTTGGTCTGTTCGAAGTTGTTTGTTTGCTGTTGATCTGTTCGCAACTGTAAGTAATGAAATATTTTTTTGTTTTTTTCTATAACAGATGTCTCAGAGTGAGTTATTG